AACTAGATATATTTCTTGCTTGAGAATAGAAAAAAAGAAAATCCATAGATTTTTTTCTTGCTTGATCAGAGAGAAAAAAAACTTTTTTTGGAGGACAAGGGCCGGGCAAGGGAGGCACGAAACAACAAGAGGGTTGGGCAACATGCGTGGCAATAAAGGCCAGAGATTTATAGGTGCAATTATGTGTTACTTTTATTTCTCAACCGCCTTCCCTAGCCTTCCATGACTGCTGAAGGCTGTGAAGGTCCCATTTTGGTACAGGTTAGAAGCCTTCATAGCTATATCACCCATTAGAAAATATTATTATATTAAAAAGAAGAAAAACTTACGTTTCGAATACTCGGCACCCCCAGACCCTTACTTTGATAATTTGATTTCAGATTTGGCAAGGCGCACAACACTTTCAATCATACTATCTACAGTGCTTAACTCTCTAGCCAAAAGACCGTCCACTCTGCACTGTTCCTTCTTACCATCTCTACAGTAATTGCTTGTTACTTTTCCACTGCAGTATGTAGTAGTCTTTATTTTAATTTTATTGCGCGTAGTCATCACTGTTTACGTCTCCATGCGTGTCTTAATCTTGATTTATCAGGTACATATATTGATGAAATGAGATTGTGTATATTTTTTTCACTGCCTTTAACAATATTATTTTTTCTGTCGGTCAACATCTAAGTCCATTAGCGCCGTATACAAAATATAGTGTTAGGGTAAGGAATGGTAAGAAAGTTTTTTTGGTTCAGTACAGTGATGTTTGTGTATTTCCAAAATGTTCAATATAAACAAATGTACCAGATACCAAAGGTAACACAGCACTATGGTAAAGTATTGTGGCGAAAAGGGTAAATAGGAGTTAACGATTTGGAGAAGTGGGCAGAAGAGGAGGATGAAGAAGAGAAGGAAATGGAACGAGGGAGAAAAAGCCCTGCAAATTTAGTAGAGGTGATGGCTGAGGTCCAAGGTACGGGTGATCCCTATACTGGACCTCAGATTTGGTCTCCTAAGACCCACCCCCCTCCCCCAACGGCAACAACTTGCAAGGGATTGGGCGGTGCATTGACTTGAGAAGATGGCTTGTTTCACATGACCGGTTTTTCTGTTACTTTCTTAATTCCATTTCGACTTACTTGAAATCTAGCATTTCTTACAGTAATAATGGACACTCAAAATGTTTTCAAAATAAATCGGCATTTTAGCAGTTTGTTGTTGGATGTTATTTGGATCAAGTTTACATTTATTCATATTTTCTTTGTCATCTGGTGTGACGATATGCTTCATTTTTCCTTGTCAAAGGGGATTTGTATTCCACAACCATTAGCAAGAACTTTACAATGACTTGCATTCTGCAAACTGCCGCAATTGCACTTATAAGACGTATTATCCATATTACCTTACTGGAGCATTTTTCCGTTCACTTCTCTAAATGTCATTTCCGTTCATTGAAAGTGATTTTAAATATATTAATGGCACGAATCCTAATAATCTCATGAAATATGCTGGAACATTTCCAACTTGTCAATACCAAAAATACTGACCCTTTACTGATCAAGAATAATGTAAATAAGGTCTATGTAAGCAAGATCTTGATCAAGCAAACAAGAGGTGTTATAATATATAATAGAACTCATTATCATACATTTTATTGACAAATGGATGGTACATAACGTACATTTTGTATATATTTTTTTTATATATATCGTTTGTATTCAAAACCAGAGATAAACAATATAGCAATTCGTATCTTGAATGGTGAAAACATTCTACCGTGTTGATACAATGGTAGAAAAACCCACAATGTAAAACTAGATTTATTGAATGTGAGACAACAGACCTGAGAATGGAACCCAGGTGGATTCCGAAACTGTTGTCTCACTTTCAGTAAGTCTAGTTTTACATTGTAGGTTTTTTCTACCAATTCGTATCCTGTTCCCCCCCCGATGAAAAAAAATATATACATCTTACTCATGAAGGAAACATGCCATATCAATGATTTTAATAAAAGGAATATCAAGCACTATTCTACAATGCTCGGAACAAGTTACAACTGACACTGAAGCCTGGGAAATTCAATATAAAAATAAACAAAACATCTAAACACGTACTTCAACTAAGAATCATATCCTCATTCAAGCGACAGTAGTTTTTTACAACCATGTCTTCAAACTCACCCCGGTGACTATCTGCCACTAAATCAACAAATAAAATGTAAAAAATAACAAAATATAATAAAAACTGGAGTTCACTATGTAAATACTGTTACCACCGATCTTGGAATTGCGGCTGCCGAGGGCCCCCTCTGTACATGTTCCCTTGCTGGAAATTATTCTGGTCTCTATAAGGATCTCCTTGGTTACTCCTTGGCCCAGAGAAGTTACGTGGACCGGCAGGACTTCTGTAGGGTTCTGGATTACTAGGACTCCTGTAAAGCTGCGGGTTGCTTGGGCTATCGTAATTCTGAGCACCCTGAGGATTATTAAAGTTCTGTGGGCCATGGTTCCACCATGGACCCTCATGCAGACGGTTCCCATAGTCTCGCTGGTAGGGTTCCGGCGGTCTCTGCTGTTGGGAGAACCCGCGTTGATCAAAATCTCCTCTGTGTGGGTCTTGTGGGCCAGGGTAGGCCTTAAACCTGTCTTCCTCATAATGTGGTCTAACGTCTGGTCCTCTTGGATTGTTTCCTTTGTTGTTAATGGAACACATTGTCGGCTGACCCTCCCCTAGGCTGGCTGCTCGCGTCTCGGACATTTCACTAGGATTTTCACAGTTCATTGTGGTATTATTCGTAAGCTGTCCTAGAGTTGCAGATGAGGGCTGATCATTACTGAAGGTATGATGTTGATTAATGGACTGACCTAGAGTAAGGGATTGGGTATGCTGGACGGGTGGAGTCTTGTTTGGAATGTCTTCAGGTTTATCTACACTATTTTGAGAAGGAGTTCTTTCTGCTCCATCACGGATTTTGGGTACCGCTTTTGATATAGACTTAACAGCATTTTTATTACTTTTCTGCATCTTCTCTCGGAGCATTGTCACCTTTTTACTATCTGTGGCTTCCAACTTCTTGAGGTATGCAGTGAGGGCCTGTTGCTCATCCCCACTAAGAGAGCGGAAATTTGCCAGCAGGGCCTGCAAGTCTTCAAGAGACAGCTTGTCCATGTCTTTAGGTTTATCCTCATCCTCATAAGCGGACTGCAGAATTGCCAAACCTCCATTCTCTTCATTCTTCTTGCTAGAATTGTTAGAAGGCTCTGGTCTTTCTTGCTGTGACACACCTGAAGGAAAGAGTGCTGGTGGTCGAGATGCAGAATGACTGGAACTGCCTTCATTTGCTGACAAAGGTCTCTGCATTTCTACTGGAGATTTGACAGAATTAATTTGGTTTCCCATAACTTGGTTCTGAGTGGCAGCTTGGTCACTCAAGAGTTTAGCATGGTTGGTTGACACTGCGATCAAAATATTTTGCAATTCTTCTTCTGTAGCATCAGATTTACCAACTTGTAAGAGATACTGTGCAATATACTGTGCAATTTGTACTTTATCCATCCCCTGTGTTGCTCTTGCAATAGTAGGTATATCCAAACCCAAATAATTTTCTTGCTCATTCAATTTCTCAGCTTGTGACTGAAGCCACATAGCTCTCTCCACAGCTACCAACGAGCGCATATATGCTGTTGTGCTCAGAATGCCTGCCGAAATTTGTGAAACTAACTTCTCTCTGGCATAGCGCACTAACACAAAGTTGTCTGGATCCTTGAAGAGTTCTATGGGATTACTGCCTTGTTGGCTCGAGTCTATGGCCTTTTCTAAAAGTGTTGCAATTGCAGGACCGAAAGATCCAAGCTGCTCTTCCAATTCATTTAACATCCTTAGTGTTCCAATAACAGAAAACTCTTCCTCAAATTTTTTTTCCGCAGTAGGTGCTTTCTCTTGACTTTCCATTAGGAAGGCTGGCTCAGAGTTGGGGTTGGGGTTGCTGGGGTTACTACCCTGAGGAGTAGGAGAGGGATTTTTAACTAGTCTCTCATCCTCCCACGGACTGGGAGACCTCTCCATGGCTCTCTCAACAGGAGCTTTTGGCACTTCCCACCCTTCAGTGACGCCTGCCTCGATTGGACCAGGGTCTTTTATCTTAAACTTCCACAGGAGAGCTTCTCTGTTTGTTTTGAAGTTGACTGCATCCAACTCCTTCATCCTTTTCAACCAAAAGGCCACCCATTCTTCCTTGAAGTTGTAAGTTTTTGGATCTACACCAGAGGCCCGTAGTTCCAACGACCTTTTGTCCCAAAACTTCTGCCATTCACGATTGTAGTATGGATGTGTCTCAGGCCGTAAGTCGTATATTCTCTACAAAAGAGAAATCATTAATTGAAGCATATATACAATACTCAAAAAGGGTGCACAATTTTGCCACATTTTCATACAATAAAATATAATGTGAAATACTACTCATAGATTGGGAGGGGGGGGGGGATGATAATGATGAAAAAATATAAATAAATAAATAAATCCTAAAATAAATAATAAAATCAATGAAAAAGTGAGGTCAGGTAGAACTAGTAATCTAATCCGTGGTGACTATACATTTGTGGAGCCAACTATGGGTCCACATCAATGGGTTAACATACTGAATTTATCCTGCCTGGCCTCAAGATATTTTATAAAAAGTACAGGAAAAGCCTTCAAAATTTTAAGGGAGGAGGGGAATGGGACTGCCCCATACTATGAACAATTGAAATAAGCAGGGATGAATTTCATAATCAAAAAAGGGTATAAGGGCAGGCATGCACATACAATTATCTGTTGGTAATTCATTTATCAAGAAAAATACAAGAGCATTGTTGCCAACCTAAGTACATAGCTGCACATCCAACCTTTTAAGAACAAGCATATTGGCTTGCTCAGTTTGAATTGTTTGAAGCAGCTCACTAATATGCTATTGGCCAACTACATAATTTGTGTATGTAAATTCTAGTCTGCAACTGTAAGTTCAGTCATCACACAGACATTTACACTATGTTGGTTTACTTATGGTCAAATCTACAATTTTATAAATAGAACTGTAATAAATAAATCTTGTTACCTGATATTCTTTATGCATAGCAATCAATTTTGCTTCAGCTTCTCTGAAATCTGCTAATCTTCGCTTCTGGGAACTTCGCTCATCTGACACATTCCTTGATCTTGTAGATGGCGATCGTCTGTCTTTACTGAAATACAGAAGTTGAATTGCCATTATTTAATTACTTGATCTTCAGGATTTGATATGGAGTACCAGAAAAAAAACAAAAAAACACCTGGATGCAACAACTTGAACTAAAACTTATTTAGTCTATTCAGTGTAGAAAAAAATAACTTCTCAGCCAATGAACTTAAAGGCACTAATACAGTACAAATGCACTTCTGTCATTTTTACTTTACTTTACTTGAACATTAATCTTCAACATCAGGCCTCAATATATAGCTGTGATAACTACCCAAGTTCTTCAACTCATTCTAAGTAGTTTAAATATTTTTCCACTTTAAATTTTAGATCCGAGTACCTTTTGTGCTCATGGTGCCAGTGGCGTGAATCTGAGCGACTGTCAAGCCTATGACGACTGTTAAGTCCTCTTGAGCGAGATCTAGAACTACCACTTGATGAAGAATTTGAAGACCACGAACGAGCTCTAACATTATTCTCACGACTTCTTCTGCTTCTGTCTTGAGATCTTGATCTGTGAAGAAATATTAGGGACATTACAAAATGTCTGAGAAACTACTGTGAAATATTAATGATTTTGTTTATGATTAAATGTATCCAACCATTCAACTCATTCCAAAAATATTTTTATTAATTTTCCTACTTTAAATAATAAGTCCGAGTACCTTTTGTGCCCATGGTGCCAATGGCGTGAATCTGGGCGACTGTCTACCCTATGACGACTGTTAAGCCCTCTCGAGCGGGATCTAGAACTACCACTGGAAGAAGAATTTGAAGACCAAGATCGACCTCTGCGATTATCCTCACGGATTCTCCTGCTTCTATCTTGAGATCCTGATCTGTGAAGGGGATCAAAGCAAAATTAAAATCAAAACAAAAGGTCAACCAAAAAATTATTGTATAGTTTATCATTTCGTTTAGGATCCCATGTAACCATATTTTTCAGCATTTTTCACTAATATGCAACAAACCATATACCTATGAATTAGAGGATTCCCATACCCAATTACCTTACAGCACAAAAGCTAACAGACATTTCTTATATATTCATTCAGTTTCAAGTGAAGAACTAAACCTTTATCCCAAACCTCTAAACATAAACACAAGGTACTACCTGTGCCTGAAATTTGGACTACGAGACCGAGTCCGGGACCGCCTAGGGGATCGTCTTGGGGTTCGCCTAGGGGATCGCCTAGGTGACCGCCTTGGAGAAATCCTTGGAGAATTTCTAAGCCCTGGAGAAAATCTGTACTTGGGACTACGTGATCTTCTTGGAGAGTATCTTCCCCCCTGAGCTCGCCTTTGGACTGGTGAACGCGACCTCTTCCGCTTGGGCGAGGCAGGTCTTGGTGGACTTCGGCTGCGGATATTCAGGCCAGGGTTGTAGTGGCGCTTGGCAAATTTTCTTCCTGTAAAACAAATCCCAAAACAAATTTAAGGCTCCTCCATCACTGATAACCCTACATACACCCAGATTCTCATGATCCATATCTACCGTGCCACACCTATAGCCATCATAACAAACCGACTCAAATCTGCTGGCTATAGGCGTCATGCCACGGTAAGGCGCACTGAGTGGAAAATTCTGCTACAGACTGTAGCAGACTCCTGAGCCAAACAACAGGATGGTTGCCAGAATCCTCTGGAGTCAATGACACCAAGAGATGTCTGATACCATCATTAAGGGGTTAAAATCTAACCACTTTTTCTTTTAAAAACAAATCAAGCAACACTTTTCTCATTACTGCAACAGAGAGCAATCCTCTGTTAGAACTAATCTTGATGACAAAGTAGCAGCACCACTCACTTGAACTAGAAGGCTAAACTGCAAAGAAAAATCTACTGCTTACCATTAGATATATCATTATCTGGCTTGCCCTCATTTGATACTTCATCTGCCAAGACAATGACGTCCTCTTCTTCCTGGTTTTCTGGTTTATCTGCTTTTGAGGCTTCTGACTCACTCTTATTGGTGGCACTCCCTGTTGCATTTGCAAGCTTTACTTTAGACAGGTTAATTTCTATCTTCTTCGATCCAACTCCCTTTGCTCCAGTACTGTTGCCACCACTATTTTTGTTCTGATCTGCTGACAAGAAGAATGGATTTAGCAATAATCACAGTTAAACAGAATACTACTAATAGTATCCTAACTTTCACACCCTGAAGACTGTATACGGTCACTGGAACAAGGTCACTGGGGGAGTAATGATTAAAGCGATGCTGCTCGAAATGTAAGGTTTACTGTAGTGTTATTCTGTGAAAATGTATCATCATATAGATGGCTCCACAATTGCTCAGTCGCATCCAGGGGGCAGGGGAATTTTTTTTACAGAATTTGTCCCACCTCCATGCCCCCAGGAGTGTTTTTTCATTCTTTCTTTTTCTTTTCTAAAATCCTAACTAAAAACATACCTCCCAATCACACACATGGGTTGGTCCTTGCAAAATAACAATACATATATACAACTTCCTACGGACCACTACAAATTAAAATAACAATATCTATCTCTTTCTCTGAAGAAAGCTGAAGAATTATAAAGCTAATGCAATAATTCTCAAGTGATCTCCAATTAGCTTCACTGTTCTTAACTGGAATGAACCTTATTCTCAAAATCAATGCACTTTAATCCAGACACTAGTATGATATCCTCACCTTGTTTTGTTGGGATGGGAATGGTAGATAAATTTACAGCTGCTCCTGATGGGGGAAGGGGAATTTCCTGGGGTGCTGAAGGCAGACTCGGAGTCTTGGGTGCTTCCTCCTCCGTCTCGACAGGCTTTTCTTGGTTAACTTGGCTGTAAATTGAGGGTATGTCAATGCAACTGGCTTTAGAAATCAGTATACAATATATATCAAATGTACTACAGCTACTCTATTAAAATGAAAAGAGCACATATAATAGTGAAAGATGAACTGGGATTTGTACTAGCATGACAGTGCTCATAATAGAATCCTCAGAGGCAAAATGAATGAGATGAAAGTGTAATGAGTGGAAGAGAGGAAGGGATAATTAGAGTAAAAGAGTGAGGGAAATGGAGAGGGAGAGAGAACAGAAAAAAAAAAAAAAAAAAAATCTGCAAAATAAGATCTGCTTTATACCAATATACTATTAAGAACACACACACACTGAAATATTCACACATAATAAAACCCATTAACAAATAATTTAAATACCAACTTTTTGTTTTAATAAAAATAAAGATGTATACCTTGAAGCTGCTACTTCGACTATTTTCTTCTTCAGTGCCATGAGAACTGAAGACATCTCTCTCTCAGTGGTGACGGCCATTTTTTTACGTCCATGTTTCTCCTCCACCTAATGGAAGAACAATTATCACCCGTAATTCAATAAGATCTTCAAAATCATTAGTTTCAAAGGTACTTAAACATGTATTTCAAAATATGTAGCAAGACAAAAAAATACCATACCTTTTTCAGAGCCAATGAAAATTCTTTCACAGAGGCTGCTGTCCATTCCTTCAACTGTACCTTCCCATAGATGTCATACACATCCTTACAGTGAGATTCCTAGAGTGTGAACAAAGAACTCATATCATTGCATGTCTCACACAGGAATTTCTGATCAGAAAATTCAATACAGTCGAAGAAAATTTCCAAAATATTTGGGCCATGAACTATCTGGCTCTTTTCACAAATACAACAGATACTATCTTTAAATCAAGCATATCAACAGCTTTTCATGTAGCTGTATAAAGTATGAAATCAATCAATACACAAATAAATTCCTTTTTAATTGTCAACTATATAAATATATATATTTTTTTTAATCTATAACTTTAAACTTACAGAAAATTTGAGCTTGTGTGGGACACTGTTTATATGAGCCACAAGGGTTTCAGAAGACATCTTCTTGCTACATAGTGCACAGATGAAGAAACACTTGTCCAAAGTTGTATCCACAGCCTTTCTCACCTCCAAAACGTATTGCAGGCCTGTAATAAAAATAAGACATGGTGTGTTAACCCATTCGCCCCATTTGGCATCTAATCTTGCCATGCTCATAAGTGCCCCCGTATGGCATCTAATCTTGCCTTGGCTTGTAGATGGCTCTACTGATGATTTCACGTGATTGGTTGATAATTATGGGATGTAATTATGATCTTCAATCATGTGATTTGTACTAGATTACATGATTATGACGTACCTTGACCTGACTAGCTAGAAACTAGCAATGGCTTTGATTGGTGGATCAGGTCACATGGTGTGATCTGATTGGTTAGTGTTAGACAGTAATCTGTATAAAGGGTCAGTCAAAGCCTCATTCTACCTGAATGATTGTAGCCATGGAAGGTCACAGCACTTTCTTCCTTTATTGCTTTCACCCTTGCCAGCAGCCGAGGCTGTCCACCTCGACAGCTATCCTGTTGGAGTCAAGCTCCTCTGAGGAGGATGGCACTGGGGATGACAAGCTTTATTTTGTTTCACACAATGAAACAATGTTGGACTCAACACTGAATAGTGATGAGCCACTCTCCATCCACCTATTGAAAATGTGGAACAGTAATGCACCTAGGACCCCAGATTTCATGTGGAGGAGGGAGAATGTGCATAAGAAGCACTGATTTCCAAGGTGCCCTGGACAAAGAGTCCCCACCCCTCTCTATCTACAGAGAGTTCGTCACCGATGAGTTGATTGACCTCGTGGTGGAGGAAATGAACAGGTATGTAGAGTTCAAAGGAATAGCTTTCCTTTTATCAACATTATTACTATATTCAAATACTAATTTATTCCATTTGCTTGCTTAAAGATTTACTCAGACCAATGAGCCATGGACTGCAATGGCAACTAGTTACAAGTTAAAGTTTACAAACTTTCTGCCAGTAAAGGCCTATGTGCAGGATACACTGCCGTGTTCCTCATCTACATGGGGAAAGAGAAAGGGTCTCTACCTTCCTCTCTTTTGGAAAAGCTACATGGTGTACGTTGGCAATTGGCACACCTCCCCAGTACTTTTCCATTTCTTGCAGTCCAGGAAGACTAGTGGTGTGGGGACTGTACGCCTGAATTGCAGCCACATGCCTCATTATCTTCAGGTCCGTAGGAGGGGGACGTGGATTCCCGGAGCTCCCCGACAAGCATGATGGCACTCTTATGGATGGATGCCAAGCAGTTCAACATGCTGTCGAAAATCCACACCTCTGCCATGGCTCAGATAAAGCGACGAGGAGGTCTGCTAGTTTAACAGACTACAATAAGGGATGAAAGGTGCTGAGCTAGGCAACCAGTTGGCGAAGTCATACCCTTCGGTGTGCAGGGTATTTAAGTGGTATAAGAAAATATTTTTGTGTGTCTATGACAAGGTGAGAGTAAGTAGCCATGCTGTCTACAAGTTCCTAGGTCACAGAACTTAAGAGGCAGCGCTGCCTTCAGCTTGGACCTGGCAATGTTGATCATATACCAGTTCCTAGCAGACATCGAGCCACATAGGATTCAAGGACCCCTGTCAATCTTGCCTTCGCCATCCAGGTTCCAAGGCAAGATGCAACATGCGGTAAGAGAAACACCTGGAAGAAAATGCAGGTATTTCCTCTGCTATAGGGTGGGGAAAAGGAAGATGACGAGGATGATATGTGCAGAGTGCCAGGTTTACCTCCCAGGTAAAACTCCCAGAAACATCTAGGTATATGGATCAAAATATATTTGAATAAATAGTGATGGGTATTATTCTGTTTCTTGGTTTCCTCCACATTCTGACCTCTCATAAAAAAACTACTTTTATCATTCATAAATAAGCTAAATACACTTTTTTCTAATCTCTTCCAAGTGTCATAAAAAAATTGCACATTTTGACCTCTCATATAAATACAAAGCTATTTTTGAGCTTGGAAAGTCTTAGAAAGTAATGGAAAGTATCAACCCAATGCTGACGGGCATGGCAAGTACATTCATGCCATGCCCACTGTGTTTACTTGTTTATTTTTACACATAGATACCTATACTTGTACTAAGTCACCAGTGAGCCAATTACAAGTACTGTCTGTCTCACCCGTTTACCCTTTTCCTTGATTTACGAAAATATTTTAAGTTAACTTATTTTGCTATTCCTTATGTTTCTAACATTATAGTAATTATAATTCCTAGAATTAAAATAACACCATCAATATTCATAGCATTAGTAAAAAATATGTTTTTTCTGCAAATTCAAGGAATGGTGAAATTAGTTTAGGTCATAAGGTCTACTTATTGACTCCTTTGTGACTAAGCACTAGCACAGCCATTTATGTGCAGACATATTTCACAAAAATATAAAAAATTAGCACAGCATTTTGCCCATTTTTAATAAATTTTCCTTCAGTGGTATGTTATATATAAAAAAAACAGAAATGCTTTGACTTACCCAAGAGAGGCATATCTTTATATTTGTCCACCACAACTTGACCCAAAGGAGTCTGTTGGTAGTAGCTTGGCAAGGCATCCTGGAATCAAAGAGAAAAAGGGTATTTTACCATAAAATACTTTAAGCAAAGGCTTGGCACTTACAATTTAATCTGGCAGAAACTTTCCTTACACTACAATGCAGCTAAAAAGGTCATCATGAAGGAAACACAAGGCATGCAAAGCACAGGAAATGTACATAAAATCTCTTCAAGGTATAAGTGATACACTGATGGAATAAATCTACATCTCAAAAAAGGAAAAAAAAAAAGATAAAAAAAGAAAAAATACTAAATAAATAAATAAATAAAAAAATAAATAAATAAATAAAATCAGCTACAGCAGCAACGCTTAATAAATATTCTTGAACAGTAATCTTGCAGGCAGAGATGAGCACGAATGAGACTGAACCCCTTCATGGGGATAAGGGATGATGTTCTGTCAAGTCATTCATTGGCACTTGGGGAGTTGTGAGGATCTCCTTGGAGCCGAGTGTGAATGTAGCTTCGATGACATTTTAGCGTTTCGGTGAGACTTTCTGCTTCTAGACATCTCACTTTATTTAACCTTCCCCCATGAACTGACCTGAAAAGACATAGAGAAGGATACAGAAAGGCTCACCGAGACTTCTTGGAGCTGTACATGGGGGGGAGGAGGGTTCCCAAACTCCTTGGGTTATTAAATTGGAGGAAGTTAATGCAAATAAACCTTGCTACATGCCTTGTGCTTCTCATGACCTCTGCATGGCAATTATTATGTTTTGGTAAACCTATTCAGATCTAAGATTTTTTCAACTATAATTCCAATATACAGAGAATTCAGCCAATTTTTTTTGGGTTGGGATTTTTCTCAGATTCATTATCTATCAACAGAAAATAAAACTTTCCCACGGGTGGATACTCAGACTTACCCCTTGTGAGCCCCTCCTCAGGTTGGGCAAGGATATTCTCGAGTACACCACTTCCAAGTCATTTGACTCGTCCAAACTTTCTTTGGGGTCTGTCAGCTCTTCAAGTGGAAGGAATTGTCTTGCAGTCCATTTTGATACCTTTTCCTTAGCTTTTTCAGGAACAGCAGAAATAATGTCCTTAATATATTGGTCAGAAGTACTATCTTTTGGTTTTTCAGGACCAGCAGAAAATATTTCCTTTATAAACTGATCAGAAGTCCCATCATTTGGTTTGCCAGGAACGGAAGGCAAAGTTTTCTTAATATGTTCCTCAGAAGCACGTTTTGGTGGTGGAGTGGGATGGATTCTCTCAGCTACTTTTTTTAGTAGAGATGACAGACCCAGTAATTCAATTTCTTCTCCTTTCTGGCTGGTCTTTCCTTCAGTGCTTACACTACTAACTGTTTTCACAACTTCTGGACTGCTTGCCAAATCAATTATACTGCTGGGATTCTGACTAACATTTTTGGTGCTTGAATTTCCAGTATCACTACTAACACAATCCATTAACTTATGAACAATATTCCTCAGACTAGAGCTACTATCACAAACTGTTACTTCTTGGTTGTGTGGAATGCTAGCTTTATGTTCCGTTAAGGAGTCTCCATGCAAATTACTTACATCAACTCCAAATCTTGCTAGCAAATTCAACTGATCATTCTGATCATCTTCATCAGATGATTCAGATGTTGCAAGATCCATATCTGAGTCTAAGTCCATGTCTGAATTTTCTTCTTTTTCCATGGCCATATCATTATTTGAACCAATTTTCGGCAAATTCTCTAACCTACTATCCAAAGATTCATGCCCCTGCTGCGTATTTTGGGGAGCTAATTCTATTAAATTTGTGGGTGGTAATGGAGGTGGTAAAAGTGGGGGCATCTCCGAATCACCATCTTTTTCAGTTTCATTGGTGGCACTTTCATCTACTTTACCTTCAGAATTTTCAAGAGATTGTACTTCATATACCTTGTTTACCTGTGGTTCTCCTTTCTTCGTTTCATTCCTAATATAATTTTTCTCTTTCCTGACATTTTCTGCCTCATCCAATTTATTCTCTGCCTCTTCCACAACACTGTCTGTCTCATCCAGTACAATTTTTGACTGTTCCTTTGAAATCTTGCTTTCTTCCTTTTCTTTGCTGGCTTTCTTCCTTTCAATGTGTTCCCTTCTTTTTTCTTCATATAAATACCATTTCATATTATAGTAATCCTCCCTTCTTTTCTCATATTCCTTAAATCTCATCTGCTTTTTCTCATTATTCTCAACATCTCCTTTTTCATTATAGTACTTCTTTTTGGCTTCATAATACAACTTTTTCTTCTTCTCATACAACTTTGTTTTCTGTCTCTTATCAAGGTGTGAATATTGATTTTCAACTCCTTTACCTTCAGCAGTATATTCACCAACAACTAATTTCTCAGGCTGTGGTCTGCTGCTAACAAGTTCAATTTCCCCCTTGAGGCTAGTAATTTGTTTTCTATCTGTATTACTTTGCTCAGTTGTTAAAGTACCTTCTCTTGGAGCTTCACTAGCTAACTTCTTTGTTGTGCTTCCGGGGTCACTTGAGTCTACAACCACATAGTTATTCTTTTCAAGGTCAACAACATTACTCCCCACCTCAAAGTTTGCTGGACTATTAGTGCTTACACTTTTGCAATTTTCAAGAGTCTTAATGAGCTCTGCAAGTTCTTCCCAACACTCTATTACAGGTGGTGGTGGTGGTGCCTGAACCTCAGAGTTGTTAGGTATAGTTATTTGTTGGAGTGTGAAACCATGAGCATTTTTCTCGGATTCCCCAACCTGATTACCACTGATTTGTCCCTCACCCGGTGAATAGGGCGCCGGGCTATGTTCACAAGCACTGTCCACATCATGACCCTGATCTGGAGGACTGCAACTACCTCCTCCCCAATCATTTTGAGAATATTCACTATTTCTTCTCCCCTCATTCCCCCTCTGACTTCTATTTCGACTGCCCACTTTTAGGTCTCTGTCCTTCTTATGTCTGTTGGTCTCTCTCTTTTGATCAAGTGTCCTAGGAGCATACCCTGAAGGCTTTTTTGAAGCAATTTGGTGTTCTCTTGATGCCAGAACAGATTTCTGTTCAACCACACTGTCATCACTTACTTTCTTCTTTTTTGGAATTCTGGAAAATAAGAGTAATCCTGTTATTACAGTTAAAAACAAACTTTTCAAGTATATGAAGCATATCATTCATTAACATAAAAGGCAAAAAAAAAAATTCATACTTACCTAAAAGTATTCAAAACTGGCCTTGAAAACACATTCTTCAACACTTCATTATCTCCTGTAGGTGCTTTCCCTTGGTCATCTATCGAAGATCTTGAAGTATAATTTTTCCCTCTTGATTCTGCTGACCCTAGCCTTTTTCCCTGTGGCACTTGAAGGTCAGGTGATGAGGTTTCTCTCTTGTGTTTCTCTCTTTCCCTCTTAAAAATCTTGTTTAACTTCAAGCTTAATCTTTTTGCCTTTTCTTCAGTGGATTCCAACTTTTGTTCCTTCCTTGATTTCCTTTTCTTTTTCTTCGATTTTTCATCTTCTAAGTCTGATCCTGTACTGCTTTTGCTTCTCCTCTTATTACGTAAGTCACTATCTCCTAATACTACCCTTTCTTTGCAACGACTAGGTGTTTCAGTGTCCCTGTCACTTTGTACACTCTCAATCTCATCTCTAGATTCAGATCTGTTTTTACAATGTGTGCTCCCTTCATCCTTTCCAAAACCATTTTCAATAACATCAACCTGTGTTCTTTCACTATCATTTGTACCTTCCCCTTTCTCTTCCTTCCACTCTTTATCAGCATTTTCATCCCTTAATGGTTCCTCTTCTAAAATTAGTGCTTCTTTCTCACTATTAGTTCTATCCTCTACCTCCCCTTTAGACCTATCTACTTCATTTTCACTTAGCTGCAGGACTAAACACTCATCACCCAAAGACAAGCTCTCAGCACCATCTGCACTGTCACTATCAATTCTAGATTCACAGTTTGTGGTATCTTTTTCCTTGTCAATGTCATTTTGGTATTTTATACAATCAGTTTCATAATTCTCCTCCTGATTTTCTTTTTTAATTTGAACATCTATTGCTTTAATTCCTTCCAATTTTACTACTGGAGTTTCCTTATTTACGGGTAATTCAACAGCTGTTTGCTCAGTTTTTATTGTATGCATTAATTTGCTGACAACTGTCTGGTACTCTTTATTTTTGCTTATATCTACTAACACTACATAACAAGGTTTACATTGAATAGAGCTAGACACAACGTTATCAGATCTAAGAACATTTTCCTTCTTCCTAAATGTAAAAACATCTTTATTTACACCCAACTTAGATGGTGATTTCTGTTTCCTTTTATCCTTGTTTCTCTTAGGTGTAATGCTGCCTAAGTGGATGTATTCACTCTCTGAATCATGGCCTGATTCACGTTTCGGACTTAATGACTCACTCTTCATACATGCATTAACTTGCTCAAAAGAATCTTCACTCTGTTCCAACTTGCGAGGACTACTAGCTTCAAATCCAATAAGATGAACTGAGCTTTCATCCTCCTTTCCAAGTGATGGCTTCTTCTTTTGCGAGGCATTACTTCTTATACCATTTTTACGTGTCTTTTTCTTCTGTCGTTTCTGAGGCTCTCTCTTTATTCTTTTCTTTGATACAGCTGGGCCAACTTTTGGCACCTTCAGACATATATCATTTTTATTATAATATACATTTTTGTCATTATCTGAAATATATTTTTTCAGAATTTCTGCATCATCAAGAGGTATCAAGGATGGATTCTTAATTAGTTCTTCTAATTGTCTTGTCCTTACAATTAGGACACTTCTACCAACATCTGTGAACATGTTCATGTCTACCACTGATGCAAGGGATGACTGAGACATTAGAAAAGCTGCTGTAACTTGTTCACGGTTGTAAATTTTGTCCTCAACAAGAAAATGTACGCTTGGGATGACCAAACAAGGGTCTCCGGAATCAGGCTCAAGTTTGACAGACTCTAATCCATCAAAGGGGTTTTCTTGATTTTCTTGACATGGCACATCCAAAGGTAATTCCTCAACAAGGGAGTCACATGGCTCCTCCTTCACCTCTCTCTTGACATTGAATTCCTCTGCAGGATCAAAGAGTGCATTCCCAAAGTCAAACTCTTCTTCAGGTGCATCAACTGGTTCATTTTTAATCAAGACACCTAGCTGCTCCTCGTTTAAGTGCTGTCTCTCTCTCCCTTCTTTGTCTGGTTCTAGTAAGCTGGGATCTACTGCAGATTCTCTGGAATCTGCCAAAAGATCACTAATGTTCCCCAGAACAATACTGCTATGAGCTTCTTGTTCATTCTCCTTCAGTTCTTTCTCACCTGAAACACAATTATTTGAAAGGTCTTCCACCAAGTGATGTTTTGACTCAAGCTTGTCTTTATTCCCATTATCAGTATTTATAGCAAGTGAGGTATTGTCTTCTATAACTGGGCTTAGCTCTGAGGTCCCATGTGTCTGTGTCTGACATGTGCCCTCCTCATGATCAGTCCCCTCAAAAGTTTGATTCGGAGTAGAATCGAGTTCTCCTTTACAAAGCTCAGGTGACGATACAATAGGTTCAGTGCTAAGTCCATCTACAGACTCAATCTCTTTGCCTTTGGTGACATTGCTTAACACCCTAGCTTGAGTCAAAACATCATCTGTGGGCTGCTGCTCTGCTGATTCCGAGTCCAATTCTGGCACACTACATAAAATATCCTCTTGCACACCATTAACATCACTATCCCCAGTCTTTCCTTCAATGTCTGCCAAAATTTTATTTATATAATCAATTTCCTCTGCTGCTGTAGCTGGCTTGAAAGACTCTGATGATGGACTCTTTTCCCTTACTTGTGAATCTTCCCCTCCAACTTCATCAACTGTTGTAAATCCTTTAAGATCCATAAC